AATTAGCCTTTCACAGAAAAAATGAGTATTTTATTTCAAAAACAACTGGTAAGGACTGAACGAAATCACTAATGCATGTGTAACAGAATGTGTGGTTTCAAGACATTTAAGTGTAAAACCCTTGAAACATTCTCAGATTCTTCTGCCATCAATACTTTTACTTTCTTGAAGCCGAGATGCAAGAATTTAGTTCTTAAATGAATCTGATACACCAGGTTGATTAATGACTATGTCATTCCCTGCCAGAATCAAGGGCAGGGTGGAGATGTGCTTCCAAGCAGAACATCCCCTGTCGGGTAGCATCAACATTCGATAATTTTTCACAGAACATTTTTGGAAGCTTTTAATCAGCTAAATTTTTCTTAATTAGAAAGTCAAACAGAACTTAGAAATGCTATTGTTCACTTAATTATCAGGATGAATATAAGTCGGCAGGAGGTGATTTACGTGATGAGAACAAGACGCACCAGAGAATTCTTCCCAATCCTCACGTGTCCGACTGCACGCTGGTTCCGAGGCTGAGTCTGCGGGCCACACGGCCGCACTGCCGGACACACGGGCCCGGCCTCCCCGCTCATCTCCAGAGCAGCTTCCGGGCCTGGTCTCTCTCGTCTCTTCTGGGTGGATGCGTGGTGGTCAGCAGGGGCGCTGGGGCCCCTCCGCCGTGGTCAGAGACATGGGCCTCCCTACCAGCACTGGGGTGGCCTTGAGGTTTTGGAAGAGATAACAGCTGGCTCTCCTCCCGCTGGCCGACTGGTTTAGAGCCACAGCTTGGAATCCTCACCCTCTCTGGCTCGGGGTCTGATTTGGAGGGCACCAAATGTGCTTTTGATTTAACCCTTGGCCTCTGAACCCACCCCACCCGGCCGACAGTGCTTCTCCACACGCAGCCTCTGCCTGTCAGCACTGGTGCTGAGCATCCTGCACCCTGGGCGCACACCATCCCACTCCCCCAACCCCGGCTCCTATGTCAGAATCGTCACCCCGGGCTCTCCCCACACGGTCACACTGGCTGCCAGGGTTGCCAAACACACATATGTGACCAATTCATTGTCACAGTCAATTTAATTACTTTACCAGGATTTTCCTAAAAATCAGTTTCCCACCTCAGGGCTCGACTGACATCCCCTGCTTCCTCTCTAGGTTCATTCTTGTTTTTGCTAAAACACATTCTTTACTGTTCAGCGAGGGTCTGTGGGCAGCAACCCCCTGCACTTCATGGGAATAAACAGAGTCTATTCAGCCTCTTTAGAGGCCTCTGCTTGTCTGTTCACCTAACAGGTACAGGGACACAGGGACACAGGGACACAGGGACACAGCCCAACAGCACAGGTGCCCCCACAACCCTCTTACCAGCCACTTGCTCCACCCAAGAGGCACCAGTGTCCCCTGCCTGTTCCTCTAGGACGACTGGTATGTGGCCGAACAAATATTCATGGACTGTTTCTTTTCCTCCTTCTTTCTTTTTGTGAAGAATCCAGAAGCAAGCTCTCTGCATTGCCTCCTGCATTTTCACTGCACGATACACCTGGGTGCCCCTTACCCCTCAGCAGCCCTGCGGGTGGAGAGCAGGCTCTCCCAGCCTCTTTTCCCCCCATGAACAAGCTTTCATGTCAATCCTGCCCTGGTCAGAACACAGGGAAGGGCTCTGACCCCTCAGGGCTGGTGACCTCAGGAGAGGGAGAGAGGGCGGGTCTCCGCACGGACACGGGGAGACCCTGGGAGGAACAGCGAGAAGCTTCCGCAGGTCAGGGAGGGGCCTCACCAGGAACGGAACCTGCCGGCACCTTGGCAGTGGGCTCCCAGCCTCCAGAACCAGGAGAAAGAGACGTCGTGGTGCTCTGTCCCGGCACCTGAGCGAAGCCGGCGGAGCGTTCCAGGGGATCTGCACTCCTGCCCCGTGCTGGGCGCTGATCTACTTTATCTTGTCACGTTCTGCAGTTATCTACTTGTGTGTTTTATCACATCTCTGAGGACAGCGGGCCTGACAGTGGCTGGTCCACAGTCAGCAAACAGCCGTCTTCCGGGCGCTTGCCGAATAGACCAGCAACTGACGGGAATTCTCAGGACAGCGTCCACGACCGTGCGGGAGACCAGACACCCACTGGTCCCTGGGGATCTTACAGCTCGAGTCCAGGACCTGTAGCATCATTTGGGGAAGACAAAACAGCAGAGCAGGCATGAGATTCAGAGCGGCTCTGGAATCACACCCAGGCTCAGACCTCAGTCGTCCTGCTGAGAGCGTCAGTCTCCCCCCTTCTGCCTTGATGATACGAGCCTCGCCTTAAAGGTCGTTCTGGAGCCGAGAAGAACCGGCATCGCTGACAGCGTGGGCTCTGCTAGCATCAGGGATGCCAGAGTCTCACCACGACTTGATGAGAATTCCTGGAAACTCCCCCTGCAGAAAAGCACCGGATTCGAGTTCCAAAGGGTCTTGGTATTTGTCAGATCATCCACTTCACTCAGCTCTGTTGCAGACCCTGGCCAGGCATGAGCGAGGGTTACTGGAGTCCCTGCTGCCTCCCCCACGTCAGCTGCCTCGTCGTCCAACACCTAGGGTGCTCGCAGCGCATGCACACAGCCAGGCCGAGACAGATGAAGGCGCAGCAGGGAGGGAGGGACCGCACGCAGGGGAGACTCACTGCCCCGAGTCTGTGTGGAGAAGAAACGCGAGTTCCAACAAATGCCTCGCAGTCAGCAGTCTGCACCGCCCTGGGCCCTGTCCCCAGGACCTGCTGTACGGAGACGCTGGACGGAGTCGGTGCTGAAGGAGTCGCCCCTTCTGCTCCAGGACACGTGGCCTCCTCTCCCCTGACACTACAGTGGTCATGGCAGGCGTCTGGCACACATCAGCAAAGCCAACTCGGTTTGCGCTCGGCGTGGGACCGAAGAAACAGCACAGCACGCCTCTGAACGCTGCCGTGGACTGCTGGTCGGTTATGGACGAGGGCGGGGTCCCCCAGCTCCGCAACAGCCCTGAGAAGGGCGGTTTACTCATCTGGCCCATCCGGTCACCCAGGGCATCGCATCTCTACTTCCAGCTCTGGTGGCAGAAGCCAGACGTTAGCCATGCCCTTCTGCTCCTACAGAATAAACCTGGCTCAGCCCCAGTCATGCGGCTGGGATGGTCCAGCCCTCCTGCGACTCTGTGACCCTCTCACCACCCACCCCTCACCGCCGCTGCGTCCCTGTCTGTCTGTGCACTGGCTCCACACTCATGCCTTGTCACCCAGTCCAAGGTTCAGCCCTTTCTTCTGCAAATCACCTGCTCACCCCAGCAACCGCAAGTGATTTAACACAATTTAAGACTTTACATTTTTAGGGCAGTTTTAGGTTCACAGCGAAACTGAGGGGAAGGAACAGAGGATTCCCATGTACCCCCTGCCTGCATTGCCAACATCCCCTCAGATGGTCCATTTGTTAGAACTGGTGACCCTCTACGGACACATCCTCACTCAGAGTCCACGGTTTACATTAGGTTCAGTCTTGGTGCTGGACGTTCTGTGGCTTT